GGCAGGTGTACAAGGTGCGCCATGTCCACTGGAAGACGTGGCTCGCCATCAAGTGCTCGCCGAGCCTGCACGTCGACGACAGGTTAGCGGCGGTCCGGGCGGGGGCGCTGGGGCGGGGGACGGCGCGCGGTGGCGGGGCGGGGTCGGGGTGCCTGGATTCCGGGAGTCTCCTTCTCTCCACCGGACTCACCTCCGGAGCAACCTCGGAGGGGAGACCAGAAGCCGGGAGAGGCCCTGAGCGCCCGGCAGTGCCCGCTCGGCTTGCCCCGGCGGCGTTGCTTTGGTGGACCCCGGGTCTCACTGAACACATCCGGGCCCGGGCATGTGGCTCCTTGAAGTTTACACACAAATATTAAAAATCTGCCGTAAATGGTGAACACCCCCCCATGGCAAAAAAAAGTTGCTTTTCGAAGGTGTACTCCGCATCCCTCAGATTATACATAGACCATAGTCGACCCACCCAGTCGAACAGTGGCAGCTCTGTGTCCTCGGGGGCCGAGGTTGCCCGGGACGCCGTAAAGTGCCCGGTCGTGCTCCACACCCTTCCCGAGTGGCTCCGGACTTTTGGGGTCGCGAGCCCGCTGTGCTCCTCCGACTAGCGCCCTTTGGAGGCGCCTCTGGCCCGCCTCGGACCCGTCTGGGCGCTGCGGTCTGCGCCGGGCTTAGGAGAATTACAATGTGGGCATCCGGGCTTTGTGAGTGTAGTTAGACTCTTCGACTTACTTAGTAATTTATGTTGGGGCACAAATTGGTGTAAGGCGGTAATTATTTCGGTCGGAAGCACCGGCTTGGTTCGGGCGAGGCTTCCTTGGCTCCCGGGCGCTTGCGCGTTGGGACTGCGGGGCTCGGGCCTGGCCGGGGTCGGGCGGGGAACCGGGATCTCGCTCGGCCCAGCACACCTTCGATTTAGCTGAGGTAATTTTGAGACCTAACTTCTGGGAAAGGGCCTTGCATTAGGTGTTCTGTGTCGATTCCAGAGGGCCCTCCTGCACCCCAGTTTCCCCGTCCAAAAGCCAGGATGGAACCTGCCGGTTCCTCCCTAACAGGTGTTCTGGTTTATAAAACGACTGCGGAGGTCGCAGAGCCGCCCCTGTTAGAGTCAGTGGATCGATTGTGGTCTTTGCGTAATTTTGGGGGGTGAGGAGGAATATTCTTGAAAAAGCAACTTTTTTTGTGTGTGCAAACTTGATAGTTTACGGTTGAGTTTTAATATTTATTTGTAAGCTTCAATTTAGTACATTTTATACTGTAGTGCAGCCTCCATTCTACATGGAAGCTGTGTTGTATTTTACCTGGCAAGTTCCTTACACGGGGTCAGCCCTGAGTGCGCATACACTCAGAAAAGCAGCTCCTTTTACATACCATTTAGCCTTTGCCTGGTTTCAAATGCTTGGCTGAGTGAGTGATGGGGCCCGAAGCCCCAGCTTTTCCGTAGAAGGGTAGTGATACTTGTGTCAGGGTGGTGGTGTGTGCTGTCTCCCCACGAGGTAACTAGTATTCCTCAAGGCCCCAGTCTGCTCCCTTTGTGTTTTCCTCTTTGGCTAGGTGACTATGGTAGCTTTTGCTGTGACTATTGGTAGCTTTTGCTGTAACCCTCAAATCCAGTGTTTCTTGGACACTTCAGTAGCATGGTGACCAGCATCATAAAGTCACCATTAGTTAAAAGGTGAGATGCTTACTGAGGCCGAGGAAACACTCTTCCTTCCCTGTGTGCCCCCCAGAACTTGGGAGGGAGATTCTCAGGCCAGGAGGGGCGCTGTGGTTATTTTGATGAAATCCAAACCACTTTGAATACCAGCCAGAAGTCAGGTTCTGGAAGGTAAAACTTTTTTTTAAGGGGAATTTTTACCCTCTTGGGGACACTTGTCTGATGCAGTCTTCTAGTTGAAGTGACCTTTATCAGTGAAGATTTTAATACCAATTTCTTGTATTGCAAACAAGCATTTCTCTGCACTGACTCATCAGCCTGCATCCTTCAAACCTTCTGTTATTTCCAGTGACCAGCCCCTTGTTTCTTGGGTGGCCTAGTTGGGGGTAGGGTTTCTTCACTCGAGGCGGGTCACTTAGGATCTTGCATAGCCTGGTTGAAAAGTGTTTTGTCCTTTACCTGGAAGCCTTTCCTGCCCTGCCCAAAGCAGGCAGGTGGTGGCATGTCAGGTAGCTTGGTCGAGGTCAGCATCCCCTAGCAGGAAGCATTTCACCTCCTGCACTCTGCCGGCCGGTAGAGCAGGCTGGAGTTTGGCATTTGTTGCAGTGGTTGATTGTTCTGCACTGAGAAGATAAGGTGGTCAGACCCCAGCTATCTGTGAAGAGGTTGACTCCTTTGGGTTAATGATTGACGGTGTTCTGCTTGAGCTTCTTCTTATCAGTTCGCATCGATCCTGCTGTGGCCCAGGAGTAACTGGGTCCATTGCAGCCTTACACGGTTGCCCCTCTAAGCCTTGAAGTAGTTATGCTATCCATCCTGACAATTTTTCAGTGCTCCTCGCTGAGCTGCTGCCCACCTCAGCCTCCTATTATTTGCAAGGCGTTCCCTGGATTGGAGTATAGGATTTTCCTGGAGTCTCCAGTGTGTAGACCCCAGCCCTGTAGCCCTCCTAGCTGTCTTGGACATTTGCATCCGGGCCTTTCCCCAGGGTGATTGGAGTCATTTATGGCCCTCTCACTTGTTGCATGGGGACCCACCACAGCTATAGGTGTGGGCAAGACTGATTTGCTTGTTTCAGGGCTGCTACCCCTCAAGGTGGGCTGGGATCTCCTGGCTGTCCTGTCCCAGTCTTTATCCACCCTTTGACCATAGCTAGCCCTCATTCCCTGTGCCCACTTTGGGCTTTCCCACCAGCAGACTGCCCCAGGCCATGTGCATGTGCAGTTCTGTTTGGGAAAAGTGGAAGTTGCCTTCCTCCAATGCCCAGTGAGGCTCCCTGGGGGCAGGAAGGTGCCTGCCAAGGGGGTCTACCAAGGGGACCTGGTAGTTCACAAGTGGCACCTCACTGATCTGAATTTACCCTCCTTGTAGGACTTGGTGCTTAGAGGGTCTCATCAGTGACTTTAGAGAGACATCTGGCCTCCCTGGGTGACCCTCACTGGGGGTCACAGGGCCTAGATTGGAGTATAGAGATGGGCGGCGCCATTACCAGTTTGGAGAGAATAAAGGGCCTGTCTCCCCTTTCTCCCCCTGCAGCCCCCAGCTGAGAGGATGTTCAGAATAACAAAGCACCTGGCCCAGGCGTGCCAGAAGCAGCTAATACCGTTCCGCGCCGGCTAGTCGGGGCGAGCCTGAGCAAACTCTGGGTTTGTAACTACAGAGCTGACAATTGGACAAGCCCATTTCTTGTCAGTTTTAAAAATAGCAGTGTGGGAACCCCTCCGAGGCTCCCTGGGAACATAATTGGATTGGTGTGCAGAGCCTGGATGAGAGGCATCGGCTAACACATGATGAAACCATTTTTCCGGCCGTGTTTTCCCCAAGGTGGTTCCCAGGTTGCTCCTGCAGGGCTCTTTGTTACCTGAGCGAGTGTCCTGTCGTCGTCCCCCCTCCCCCCCCACCTTCTTTTCCCATGGCTGATTGCTTCTTCACCTTTGCCAGACTGTGTCCTAGGGGCCTGTTCTTTCCCCCTCTCTAAGATACAGGCTTCTAGAGGGAAGCCGCCATTGCTGCCCTCAGCAAGGGTTTAGAATTTCTGACTGAATCAGGAGAACCCTGTGGCTTCCCTAGAAAGTTTCTTTAGGAAATGATGGGTGTGATGACATTTCTGATATTTCTCCCTTCTCCGGTGCCCTCCCTGGGGTGGGAGGATACACTTTGGCTAGCCCTAAATAAGAAGGAAATCAAATTAATGTCAGTGTGTATCTTTAAGACGTTGAACCCTAACTTGGTCCTATTAATGCCCAGAGATTTTCCACCTGGAACCCAAAGGGGGGTGTAAGGGCGTGGGGGCTCTTTCTTTGTTCCTGCTTGGAAGCAGAATCAGTGAAGGAAATGGGAATGGGATACTACCCTGCTGAGTGTCCCTCATTGGAGCTGCACGTGAGCCACATCACAGGTTTTAAGGTTATGTCTTAATTAACACTGATGTCAGGGATTCTGGTGGCCTGGAAATGTTGCCATCACTATTAACAGTAAGAAATGGGATTTGGTAATCAGGGCACAGGGGCTCATTCCTGTTATCCCAGCACTTTGGGAGGCCAGGAGTGAGAGTCACTTGAGGACAGGAGTTGGATACCAGCCTGGGCAAGACATCCACACAGTAAAAAAAAAAAAAAAAAAAGAAATGTGATTTGGTGACGGCATGAACCTGCTGGACACTTGGCACCGCAATGTTCCTGTGCTCCCAGCACACAGACTCAGGGGCTAGTTTCAGAATCTTTCCAGGTCTTGAAATAATCATAAAAAAACAGTTCCTTTGTGTGGTCATCAACACAAACCAGACACTGGTTAGAAGAAAAAACTGTGTTAAAATAATTGTCATTGATTAAAAAGCAGTTGGTGGTTTTTTCCTCTCTCCCAGCACAGTGCACTTCTAAATTTCCCTTGTCAGAAACACCTTTTCCTGAAGCTCCAGGAAAGGCCCCCTTCAGGCTTATTGAATTGCAAATGCTACCGGGCGACACCCGACCCGAGAGGGGCCTGAGCTTCCTAAAGCTGCCTGAACACCCCAGGCTGTGCGTCCTGGGAGCCACTGAAGAAGGGTCTGAATTTGAGCTTGGTGGTTACTAGACAATAAATGATATGAGAAGTGTCTGTGGAAGTGCTGACCCTTCTGAACAAAATCCAGGCTGGTGTGTGAGGGAGTCCTTCCCCCATCACTTCCACTCCTGGGCCTTGAGCCTATAACTGAGCAGTCCTGGGATTCCTCTCCTGGCCTGAGGCATTTCTGATAGCCCAGTCTTGAAGAAGGTGATTTTGCCCCTGGAAACAATAACTTATTTTCAAAGAAGGCTGATTTTCCTCAAGGAAGTGTCCTGAAAGGGAGGGGGAAGTCACATCAGCCTCCCTCCAGGCATTTGTGCAAAGTCAGGGTGGACTCCCTCAGGAGATCTGAGCTGGGACTGACTTTCAGGTGCGAGTGGCAGTTCTTTTCTGTTTTATTTTAAAGAAGGCAAATGGGGTCTTGGTTCTGCAGAAAGGGCCCGGGGCAGGGAGAGGGTGGAGAACTTGCTGAACTTGGTGCACTGGGGAAGGTGTGATCTGCTGCCAGCCAGTGAATGTTAGAGTCACTAATGAGCTCACTTTGCCGTCAGAAGTCACCTGGGTTTTATGTATTGAGCCCTTTGGGCAAATAGAAGAAAACACTTACTTGCAGAGTGGTTCAGAGCTTGCATTTAGTAAGATATTCAGCCTGCTTTTAATTGACTTTGTTCTCAGAGTACATATTTGCAATCAGGTTTGGCTCAGAGAGATGGCTCTCAGAAAGTCTGTTTCAGGTGGAAAAATGATTCTTGTTAATGGCTTGCGAGTAAACACTCAACAGTCTTACCACAAAGAGTCCTCAAGTGATTCTACCTCCCTGGCTACACTGGAAGTTGGTCTCTAAGTCCTCAAGAAGGACTTCTGCTAGTGACACCTGGGCCCTGGGCTCTGAGAAGGGACACCCACACCGGTAGACAAGGGTTTTTAAAGAAAATAAAAGCAATCGGAAACAGAAGCATCATAACTCTGATTCTTAACAAGGTATAAAACAAGCAGCAGTTGATATAAGGTCCTGTCCAGCAACTTGGGACTGAGGGACTTGCAGCAGTAGTAGTTGTGCTAGTACCAGTTTGAGTAACCTTGAGGGTCTCAGCCTCGTGTTTTCTTCCCAGAAGAGGACAGAGAGGAGCCCAGGTGTGTTGCTTTCCTTCTCCTTCGGTGACCAGTTTTATTTTAGGTGATGCTTGACGTTGATGTGGGGCCCTCGACTTCCTTTTTGTCCAATGCCTGTTGGAAGGGGTTGAACTCCTGGACTGGCCTGTTAGTTACCCAGCTGGGGACGGCTCCATTGTGCTCACTGGAATCTGTGGCTGCAGGGAGGAGGTAGCCTGGCCAGGGCGCTGTCACCCATCACAAATCCTGGCACTATGGCATTTCCCCTAGCCGAAGGGAGCAGCTCACAACATCCTGGTGTCAGGCAGCACTTCAGCCCAGTCCGAGAATTCCCCACAGGCTGGCGCTACACCTTTGTGGACATTTTGCCAAGAGGTCAGGCCACACATCATGCCCCCTTTTGTCGTATAAGAATTGGAGGATTCGTTTCTCATGCTTGTTTCACTTGTTCCTAAGTGGAATTCCTTGCTCTGTGAGTTTATTCAGCATACTCTTGCTTTCCTGCCGCAGCAGCCCTCTCCTTCCATGCCCCTGTTGGGGCTGCCCAGCTGCTCCCGATGGAGAGCCAGAGTGGTCTCTGTGTGCCTCTTTCCTCTTACATCCAGTCAGTATCCAGTCTTACTGATTACCCCTGCAGAGTGTGTCATGCTTTGCTGGCTTCCCCCCTCCACTTTGCCCCAAATGGTCCATGGTGACCCCTCTGCTGGCCTCCTTGATCCACCAGGCTCTTCACGGGTCTCAACCTTCTGGCCTCCCACAGGCCCTTCCTGCCATCCCTTTCTTGCTCTGACTTCAGGTTTCCCTTGATTCTCCCAGCGCCCCTGGCCTTTCTATTTACAGGTGTTAGATTTTCAGGTATGCTTCTTTTTTCGTATAATTCCCCATCTTTCTAGAAGGTCAACATAAACACCATGAAGGCAGGAAGTGGTTTCTTGTCACCAATTCTAACATGTGTGTGTTCAGTAAATACTTGTTTGAAACCGTTTAAAATAAAGGGAAGGTTAATATTGGACATACTCAAATGGTGACTCTAGATGGTGTAGTTTACCTTAAATTTGGCTGAAAATGCATTAACTTCATTTACAGCAGGCATTCTCAGACTTGCAACCATTGCATTTGGGACCAGAAAAGTCTCTGCCTTGGGCTGTCTTGTGAGTTGGAGGATATTTAGTAGCATCCGTCAGTCATGGCAATCAGAATATCTCCAGACATTGTCCAGTGTGCCCAGTGGGCTATACCCAGGAGTCCAAGCCCCCAGTGCCTGTATGGGAACTTCCTGGCGAGAGCTCAGCACAGGGCAGAACTTTTGGAGGGTGGAAGGATCCAGAGGGCTCCTCCTGGTCTTGTTCCTCCTGCGTAGAAAATGTTTCCTAACTGTAAGGGAGATCTGAGAGGAATTGGAGTCCCACCTGGGAATTCAGATCCATAAGTGGACATGCTTTGTTGGCACCCTTGGGATTCTCCAGCAGGCCAGAAGGGGAGGGAGGTTGATGGTTTCCCAGCAGCTGCTCCAGGGTTTTTCCCAGGAGGAGCGGGCTGGGTCTGGTCTCTGGGAGGCTCTGGTGGTAGTAGCCGTGATGGGGCTATGGGCAAGGGCTCTGTGCAGGCAGAGGTGCTCAGTTCCCTGCTCCAGTAGGCTGGGTCTCTCTGGGTGTGGTTCTGGGCACTTTCTTTAGGGAGCTTGTTATTATGAGAAAGCAGATTTCCCAGCCCCAACCTGGAAGTCATTCTCAAGGAGCGAGTCCTGGGAACCTGCATTCCAGCCAGCTTCCTTGGGACCTCCCACTGTGTCTGTGTTCGAGAACCACTAACCTAGATCCTGCATGGCCAATACATATCTTGGGAGGATTCAAGCTTCTACCCTGAATGTACTCTAAGACTTTGACCCATGATGCTAGTGCAGACCAGTGGGAATCTGGTCTGTAAAAAAAAAAGAAAAAAGAGAAAAACACCAGCAAAGTGACCTTAGCCCAGGGATTGAAGAACTTTCTCCAGGCAGGGCTAGAAAGTAAAAATACTTTAGGATTTGCAGGCCACAGGGCCTCTGTTGCAATGACTCCTCTGTGCTTTGAAGTGCAAAGCAGCCATGGCCAATATGTAAATGAATGGGTGAGACTGTCTTCCAGTAAAAGTTTATTTACGCAAACAGGTGGCAGGCTGTGGGCAACAGCTTGGCAGTTTCTCACAAGGTTAAACATAGAACTCCACATGACCCAGCAACTCTATACCTGGGTATGTTTCCAAAAGAATTGGAAGCAGGTACTCTAGGTGTTTGTCCTCTGGCTTGTGCAGATGTGTAGCTTACTCCCAAGCACCAAGAGCAGAGAGATGGGTAAACAAAATGTAACCTATTCGTACCATGGAATATTATTCAGCCCTAACAAGGATGGAGGTTTTGACATATGCTACAGCATAAACAGACCTTGAAAACGTGCTTAGTGAAATCAGCCAGACACAGGACAAATACTGTATAATTCCACAGAGACAGAAAGTAGAAAAGAAGTTACCAGGCACCAAGAGAGAGCAAAGGAGCTATTGTTTAAAGGGTGCGATATTTTTGTTGGGGATGGTAGGAAGTTTTGGGTAGTGATGGTCATACAACGTTGCGAATGTGTGGAATGCCACGGAATCAGACACTTGTGAATGGTTAAAATGGTAAATAATATGTCATGTCTCTTGTACTATATTTAACATTTGTTACTTAAAATATGGTGGCTGGCTGGATTTGTCCCTTGGCAGACGCATGCTTTAGACTCGTGCTGTTTCATTAGTTTGAGCGTGAGACAGGGATTGGGATGAAACAGAGGTGAGTTGGGTTCCTCAGGTAAATAGCTAGTTGAAAGTCGAACCTGAACCTCTCTTCCCTCATCTCTAGAGAAGGGATTGCCAACCTGCACTTGCTGACCCCAAGACCCCAGTCATTGACCCACTACTGTCTGTAGGTGTGCAGATAACTGTTAGACTGTCTCTCCTCCTCCCTTCTCATAACTCTGGGAAATCAGCATAGGTGCATGCATGCAGCTTTAGGACTGAAATTCTGGAAGGCCCAGGATTTAATGATACGACATGCAAGTGTGTTCTGTGTTTGTGCATTTGAGTAATTTTCTTGGCCATCTGGGGCTGTTTGTCCTGTGGCTGGGGGGTTTTGTGTCTCTAGCTGAGTGACCACTGTATGTTCCTCATACTCTTGGACTTTTTTTAGGGAGCGCATGGAGCTTCTGGAAGAAGCTAAGAAGATGGAGATGGCCAAATTCCGCTACATCCTGCCTGTGTATGGCATCTGCCAGGAGCCCGTGGGTCTGGTCATGGAGTACATGGAGACTGGCTCCCTGGAGAAGCTACTGGCCTCGGAGCCGCTCCCGTGGGACCTGCGCTTCCGAATCGTCCATGAGACAGCCGTGGGCATGAACTTCCTGCACTGTATGGCCCCGCCACTATTACACCTGGATCTGAAGCCAGCAAACATCCTGCTGGACGCTCACTACCATGTCAAGGTGGGTACCTGCACAGTGTCCACGGGAGCTGAGCAGAGTGAATCTGTCTCCAGTGCAGTGGAGTGTTGAGACTAGGGTAGAGGCGCAACAAGAGGCCTTGAAACCAAGGACTTTCCCAGCATAGGGACTCTAGGAGTCTAAGTTTGTGGTGGTTGGTATAAATGCTATATACCAAGCAACTGGAAGATGGGCCTGTGAATGTCTTGGTACGTGACTGGTTCTGGCAAAGGAGATGGGTTCACAGATTCTGGTCTTACTGAGTCGTAGGAAATCAGGTTGGAAATCAAACTATGAACGAGGTGTGTCTTTGTGAGACCTCAGGTTTCACAGCAAAGAGGTGTATTTCCCCTCAATGGTTTCAGGGGCTGGGCTATACAAATATGGGGGTGCTCTGCAGAGGACCACAGAGTGTTGTGGACAGAGTGCCTGAAGAGAGGCTTCTTTTCCCATCTGCCCTGTCCCTGCCTTGGGGAGAGTGTGGAGAGGCAGGATGGAGTTGGCCAAGGCCTGGGAGCTTTACTGTTTTTTCTTTGATAAGTTTATAAAATGCAGAAAAATATGAGGGTTAATGTAACGAAAACTGCTCTGGTTGCATGGTATTGGCAGTTATTAACATCTTTATCTTCCATCAATGTTGTCTTATTTCATGTTTCTCCCTTGGTGGCCTTTGTGTCCAAGATTGTACTGTTGTTGATACTGTGGATGGCACATGCCGTGGTTTTCTCCATGTGATGAGAGTCACAAGCTATTGGGAGGTTTGGAATTCTCCACTGTCCACTAGTGGTTGCCTTGGCCTGGACATGAGAAGGAGCTGAGATGGGACAAGCAGAGGAGTCTGGATTTCGTGGATGGGACAAGCAGAGGAGTCTCGCTGCTTGCTTTGCCTGCTTTGCTGGCCCTGGTGGCACAGTGCTTCCAGACCTCTTTTTAGGCCTGACCATTAATTAGGAAAGACCTGAATTCAGGGCCCCACCCTTCCCCTGAGCTCTCAGGTGGAACAGGGGAGCGGTGGCCCATGTGGCATGTGCACAGCCGCTCCCTGTGCCTAGATTCTGTGGCCATGCCATGCGCCTCACTCAGCCAGGTGAGGCGGTGGAGGGAGATTGATATTTTCACTCTGGGCAGTGATTACAAGTGTGTCTTGTAAGTAGGGTTTGCACAATAATACAATTTTGCTAGGAGATGTAAGCGCTGTTCTGCCAAGTGAACCACTTGGTTTTTGTTTTGATTTTAGAGATAGGGTCTTGCTGTGTTGCCCAAGCTGGTCTTGATCTCCTGGCCTCAAGCATTCCTCCCACCTCAGCTTCCTAAAGTGCTGGGATTACAGGCATAGTACCCGGCCAAATGACTTGGTTTAAATTGGCCCTAGTGTGGTGTCTGCTCATGTTCTGGGATCCCTGGGATTCCTATTTCCTATGATGAGCCGGGCTGGGCTTCTCATATGGCCCTCCACTCTCAGCTGGCATTGATAGGGTTCTTCCTGGGTAGTGCAGGAATAGCAAAATCTCTGCTTTCAATTGTGTACTATATACTAGAAAGGGTCTTCCGAGGTTTCACCTGCAGGAGTGGCCCTCATCCTCAGCAGAATGCAGAGCGGACAGTGGCTCCTGGTTCTCGTTAAACTGGGGCTCAGAGGGTTAAATGAGCAGCCAGTGTTATCCAGCTGTGAGTCATGGTGCAGAAGTTGGAACCTGATCCTGTAGCCTCCTGAGCCCTCAATTTCCACCTGACCTGCTGCTGTGCTTGTCACATCAGGAAACAAAATGACCGCAGTGCATAGTGGTCACTCCAAGGTGGAGTAGGTGGCCAGTGGGCAGGGCATGGAGAAGGCCCCTTGGGATTGGTGAGAGGTGGGGCCAACTTTCTGCTGTGAGGAGGAGGGATGGGGAGGCAGGTGAAGAGCCTCCAGGAAACTGCCCAGTAAGTCTGGAAAACATGAGGTTTCTCATGCAGGAGGCACAGCTGGATTAGAATAGAGGGTAAAAGACCTCATGCCCTGTCTTTAAGGACTGCAGAATAAGGAGAAGGTTGCTGGGGACATGCTTTTCTCAGAGAGATTGCTGTCACATGCACATCGGGTATTGGCCAGACACGCCAGGTGTAGGACAGGCAACTGTGACCCTTTGAGGGTGACTGTGGTCCTTTGAGGATGACCACAGCCCTCTGAAGGTGACCGTGGTCCTTTGAAGGTGATCACAACCTGGTGTCTTTCCAGAGGCACGCAGTGTCATTGCCACAGCTTTGGCTCACCAGGTCCCTTTCTATCTGCCTACAAGTCTCCTGATGGGGCATACTGAATGTTTGGGGGGGGAAATATGTGGATGTTCCTCAAAGGACACAATGACCATGTCCTTGGGAACATGGTCTCTGGAGCCATTACCCAGCCTGGGGGTGGGTGAGGGAGGGAGAATGCTTGCCACAAGTTATTATATTTGATGTTTAAAGTGCTTAGCATGGAGCCTGGTCCCAGGAAGTGCTTGGCAGGGTTGGTGCTGGTGGTCATTCTGTTACTAGTAGATGATCACTTTCAAGTTAGGGATATTAATGCTCATCTGGGCATCTTCCCCAGCCCAGGGCACACAGTAGGCATTTAGGAAGTGAGTGCCCTCCTCTGCCTGAGAGTCTGCAGGCTTGTCCTCCTGTGGGGCATTTCACCACTGAATTGAGGTTCTTTAGTTTGACTATGCCCCCATCCATCCACCCCCACTGCCCCCCTCCCTGAATGTGATTTTGAAGACCTGGCGAATGACAGTCTCAGTGGGTGAAGGTTCTATAAAGAATCAGTGTGTAGCTGGGCTTGGTGGCTCAGCCTGTAATCCCGCACCTTGGGAGGCTGAGGTGTATTGATTGCCTGAGCCTGTGGGTTCAAGACCTGCCTGGGCAACTTGGCGAGACTCATCTCTACAATAAATCAAAAATTAGCCGGGCGTGGTAGCGCGCGCCTGTAGTTCCAGCTACTTGGAAGGCTGAGGCGCCAGGATTGCCAGCGCCCAGCAGGTCGAGGCTGTGGTGGCCAGGCGCGGCCACTGCACTCCAGTCTGGGTGACAGAGTGAGACTCCAACTCAAGGAAAAAAAAAAAAAGAATCAGTGGGTCAGTAGGGAACCCAGGATCACTATGGAGCAAGAGGGAAGCCCTGGTAGATGACTGCATCTGCGTGGCTCCCCTGGAACATGATAGTACCCCACATACCCTCACAGGCCCTGGAAAGGTCACTTTTGTGTGACACCCTTCTTAATCAGGCATGTGAGTCACCATCAAGAAGCCCCAAAACAAACAGAAAAAGGTATTTACATAACATGCTTCTTTTCTTCTTAGAAATAGCTGTGTGTGTGCAGGGTCAGGAACTGCTTGAAGCTCTGAGAGTCAGTGCTTTTGGTCCTGAGGACGAAGGCTGGGAGCATTGCGTGGGTTGGCCATCAGGCTCCCAGGTGGTGTTCTGTAGATAGTCACTTGAAGCAAGAAGACTTTAATCTAGAATCTTGAAATTCGACCCTCAGCTGCCATTTCACCTGCCTCGTAACTGATACGGGCCAACTTTTTGTACATAGCATGATTAGAACTGAGAATTCCACTGTAAGCCCCTGCTTTTCGAAGTACATTATGGACACATAATACTAAGTTAATGATCACCATTATTCAGTATTCATTTCACTAAATATCAATATTAAAATAGTAATCATCATTAATTTCAAGGTAAAAATAAAATAATTTGTTTTAAAGTCTCAGGGTGCACTTATATATCCAGTTGACCAGAACAGACCGTATTAATAGGGTTACACGAGAGTCGTGTTCTTCTGTGACTTAAAATGCTTTTCTCTCTAAGACAGGCAAGCCCTGCTGGGCTGCTGTCAACCTTGCCCACCTGGATGGACCCTTAGGTTGAAGGACTGTGTGCTTAGGGTCACCTGGGAGCCCTGAGTTCTTTGGGGATACTGAGTCAGCTGCCAACCTGAGCGTGTGTATGTCATGAGGCATTTACTCTTCGTGTGGTTGCCTCAGTGGCCCAGAGTTGAGGATGCAGGGCGGGGGCGGGCAGCTCCGGGCAGGCCAGTAAGAAGGGCAGAGGACAGTCCAGTGGCCCAGAGCCCAGGACTAGAGGGAGGGGCATGCAGAAGGTCCTAGACACTCCCAGAATTCCAAGTTCTGAGTGTGCATTTTTACACCAGAGGTTTTCCAGGAATTTCTGCTTATTTTCTTTCCACGAAGTATATTTTGGAATGTCCAGCTCTGTCTGACAATGGCAAAGAAGGAGGAAAGGCTGCAGGCCAGGGGACGTACCAGGGCGAGACCTCACAGCCCAGACCCTGTCATTTCTGAATTAAGATGTTTCAAGCTGCTAAACCTAGTTGGAGTTAAACTTCCTCTGTTCATAGACTTGTTTTGAGAGTCATGGCACACTGTCCCGTCTTCCCACTTCTAGTTCCAGCTGCTTTAGGGATTTGCAGGATCCAGTGTTATTCTGGGTAACAGCAGTTTCCTCACCAGTGGGGGAGGAGGGTGTCTCTTAAGGACTACACTGGCTCAAAGGCCACAGGACAAATAAGACTGGGAGTGGCCCAGAGTTGGCCTTGGCATAGCCTGACCATGAAGATGAGGGGGCAGGGAGGGTGGGAAGGGGGAAAATGGAGGAATAGGGGTGGGAGAGGGAGTGAGGGGATGGCTGGTCCCTTCTTCAAGTCTTTCTTCCTTTACCTTCCCACAGATATGACAGAGACTCTTGACACTGATTGGCAGTATGACACCAGCCCCTTTGGCTCACTTTATGGGTGTGGCCAGGCTGGAATTAAAGACCTGACTCAGCCCCATTTCCTCTCACTCCTTAGGTGTGTTTGAGGAGGAGCCCAGGAATTAATTAAAAGGCTTTTAAAAAAAAATCCATAAGCCTCCTAGGAGAATGGAGGCTGTTTTCCATGAGGATCAGGAGTCTCATTAATGCACATGAGGTGGGCTTCAGCCCACACAGTTTCAGAGCCTTCAAAGGGGTCTTATTTATTTATTTATTTTGAGTCACAGTCTCACTTTATTGCCCATGCTGGAGTGCTGTGGCATGCTTACTGTCACCTTGACCTGCTGGGCTCAGGTGATCTTTTCACCCAACCCTTCTAAGTAGCTGGAACTACTGGAGCACACCACCGCATGCTAACACACACACACACACACACACACACAAACAAACACAAATTTTTTTTTTTTTTTTTTTTTTTACTTGTAGAGATGAGGTCTCACCATGTTGCCCAGGCTGGTCTTGAATCCCTGGGCTCAGGGAATCTTCTTGCCTTTGCCTCCCAGAGTGCTGGGATTATAGACCTGAGCCACCATGCCCAGACTAAGGGGTCTAATTTATACTAGAAATGGGGACACTGGCAGAAAAGGAGATTCCTCAGAGAGGCCTGGAAAGGCGGGCTGGGGTTCGGTGAAGGTCTCCAGTTGTGGATTTAAGGGAGCTTCAAGGATGCTCTTGCCCAAAGGAGACCTGCCTCCCACAGATGCGCACAGAGGTATGGTTCAGGGGGAGCGGGTGTCCCGTTACCCTTCAAAGCTGCCCACAGGGTTTTTGTCAGACCTTTACTCTAATGCCTCGTGTTTGGTGAAGAAGCCAGGAAGTGTCTGTTGATCACAAAGCACTCCAGGTGGAGGAAGCTGCAAGGTGTGTGTTTTGTGGCTTTAAAGGGCTTCTGAAGGTGTGTTTCCTATAAAGAACTTGCAGCCATTTGCCTACCTCCCTGGCTGGAGGATCACATAACCAGATCCCCGAGACCCCCCAGCAAGTGAACCTGATTGTCACATGTCGTGTCACTCTTTATGTAATACTCTAAAGCTTGGTTTTCTTCTTTATCCTAACTGGGCTGTCAACCTTGATGGCAAACATGATGCCTTAAACAAGTTAGAAGACACTTCTTCCCAAGTTCTCTCTCCCTGTGAATTCCTTTCTTAAAGCGTCATCTTTTCCCTGTCCATCAAGTGCGTGGCTCCTGATGCCTCCAGACCTGGTTCTGCCCCAGCGCCTGCCTCGTTGCCAGTCTGGGCCAGACTGCCTGGAGAAGCACAGGCCTTGAGTCTCTTGGAAAACCCCTAGTAATGCAGCCCAGGCAACCCACCCTTAGGGATTGCAGAGGGGAGCTTTTGACAAAGCATCCTAAATTGTCACCATGGAAGACTGATGGACTCTCTCTGCCTGTTGTTGTAGATTTCTGATTTCGGGCTGGCCAAGTGCAATGGGCTGTCCCATTCGCATGACCTCAGCATGGACGGCCTGTTTGGCACCATTGCCTACCTTCCTCCAGAGCGCATCCGGGAGAAGAGCCGGCTCTTTGATACCAAGCATGATGTGTACAGGTGGGTGACGTACTGCCCCTGTCCCCCATGCATGCTGGGGGCTCTGAACCCTGATGCGTCATGCCTTGAGCAGTAGCTTTGGGAAAAGCTCCTGGTGCCAGTCAGATGTGAGGTTCAGTCTAAGTGAAAGGGGCGTGGCTTGTGAGGCTTGGAGTTCTTTTTTTTTCTTTTTGAGTTAGAGTTTCACTCTGTCTCCCAGGCTGAAATGCAGTGGTTCACGGCCACCACTGCCTCAACCCACTACTGGGTTCAGGTGATCCTTCTGCCTCAGCCTTGCAAGTAGCTACCACGCCCGGCTAAGTTTTTGATTTGTTGTAGAGATGAGGTCTCACCAAGATGCCCAAATTGATCTCAAACCCATGGGCTCAGGTAATCCTCTCACCTCAGCCTCCCAAAGTGCTGGGATTATAGGTGTGAGCCACTGTGCCCAGCTGGCTTGGGGTTCTTAGCCAGTGGATACAGGCCACCCCAGGAGCATAAGAAACGTTTCTTTCTACCAAGTGTTGCAACTGAGAAAAATGTTCCTGGTTGGGACCACTTCAAGCCAATTGCAACCAGATAGTCACCCTGCACAGTCAGAGCTTTGGTGTTTTTATGAAACGTGGGTTTTTTGACTTGTCCATTGGAAGAACTTGCAGCTCTCAGGGGCCTATGTGTCTATATGCATGTGGACTTGGGCTCTCCAGAATTCACTCTCTGATTTTGTGGAGTGAGCAGCTCACACCTCCTAATGTCACTTAACCTTATTGAGGCTGCTCCCAAACTCAGCCAGTGGGGTTTATGTACCTAGGGCACAGTTCCTAGTCACTGCGTTCCCTCTTTTTTCAAGCTGTAAAGGTCTGAGTTACACAGACTTCTTGGAGAAGAAAAGAGGGAAAGGGAGTGTAAGTGCGGACTTAAGCCTCTCATTGTGGTTGTCCTCCTGTGCTTTGTGACTCTGACCTGGCCCAGAGCATTTCAGCTCTGCCTTTCAGTGCCACCTGCCTACAGTCCTGGCTGACTGGTTTAACAATAGCCATTATGCTTGTGCTTAGCCAGGCCTTTGAGTGGTGAGTCCCCTGGGGAATGTCACTTTGCAGCTTGCAGTTTGGGGAGGGAATAGAGTTGGGAGTTTCAAATTTTGAACGTGCAGTTTCAATTATTTATTTATTTATGTATTTATTGAGTCAGGGTCTTACTTTGTCACCCAGAGTGGAGTGCAGTGGCATGATCATGGCTCACCATAGCCTCGTTGACCTCTTAGACTCAGGCAGTCCTTCTGCCTCAGCCTTCCGATTAGCTGGGACTATAGGTGCACATCAACATGCCCAGCTATATTTTTTTTAGAGACTAGGCCTTGCTCTCTTGCCTAGACTGGACTCAAACTCCTTGGCTCAAGCAGTCCTCTCATCTCAGCCTCCCAAAATGGTGGCATGAGCCACACTTACAGGTGTGAGCCACAATACCTGGCCTCAGTTAATTCAGTGGTACATTCTTGTGTTTCTAAAAAGCAGCCACTGGCCAGGCTCGGTGGCTTAGCCTGTAATCCCAGCACTTTGGGAGGATGAGGCGAGTGGATTGCCTGAGCCTGTGGGTTTGAGACCAGCCCAGGCAACTTGGTGAGACCTCATCTATACAATAAATCAAAAACTAGCCGGGTATGGTAGCGCATGCCTGTAGTTCCAGCTACTTGAAAGGTTGAGGTGAAGGTTTGCCAGAGCCCAGCAGGTCGATGCTGGGGTGTCCCGTGAGCATGCCACTGCACTCCAGTCTGGGCAACAGAGTGAGACTCCAACTCAAAAAAAAAAAGCAGCCACTGCCATCAACTCATTGTTCCTTGGTAGCTCAATTTCTGAACTCCCTTCTTTTGTTTTTTAAAAATTCATCAGATTGAGCTCTTTTTTTGTGTATCTAGAGTAATTAATATATGTTAATATATCCCTAATAAATACATTCCTTAAATGTCTCCTCTCCCCGAAAAAAATCCTGCTTTGGGATGTTCAGCTGGATTGCCTCCTGATTTCTCTAACAACCTCTGGTGAACTCTCATTGAGCCTCTGTCAGGAACATTTTGATCAGAACCCGAATCTCTGTTTTAAAAGAATGAGATCCTTGGAGAGGGGAGGGGGATGTAAATTGCCCCCTCATTCATTTTTCAGCAAATGCCTGAGCACATGCTCTGTGCCTGGCGCTTGCAAGAAGAGGGCAGTGATTGAAGCATTTGGGCATTTGCCCCAGTGTAGGACTGTACCCCCATCGGGGAGCGCTTTTGAAGATTCAAAACCCAATCGGGGAGTTTAAGTCTGTTGTTTGATAGCTGAGCTGTCACTGGTACTGTAGAGCTTTTGCTCTTCCTGAAAGCTCATGAGAAGCCTCTCGGTGTTGTCTTTCTCTGAAAGACTTCAGCGCGGCTACGCCTGCTGCCTTGAGCCCTCAGCTCTGTAGCCCCAGATCACAGACGCTCATGTGCCTGGTTTCTCTTCCAGCTTTGCCATCGTGATCTGGGGTGTGCTCACACAGAAAAAGCCGTTTGCAGGTGAGTGGCCCTGTCTTTGAGGTGTTGTGTGTTTGTCTTTCCTAGAATAACTTGGGGATGTCCTGCTAGCCCTTTTCTGTCTTTGGCACCTGTGATCCATACTCCTGTGGGTGTGGCTCTGTGGTGGGATTTGAATGTTGGAAAATCACGGGTTTGAAGGGGCCATTCAACAGTTTCTTTTTTTAAAAATGTAATTTTATTTTAGAGTAAAATAAAATATTAGCTGGGTGTGGTGGTGTGTGCCTGTAATTCCAGCTACTTGGAAGGCTGAGGCGGAAGGATCACCTGAGCCCAGCAGGTCAAGGCTGCGGTGGCCGTGAGCATGCTACTACACTCCAGCCTGGGCGACAGAATGAGACTCAATCTCAAAAAAATAAATACTTTATTTTAGAGGATTCACTACATGAGTAGGTTGCATGCAGGTGAAATTTGAGCTGCCAGCAGGCCCTCTCTCCCCTTGACAGTGGACTGGGTACCCTCTGTTTGCCACATGCCCTCTCCCCACTCTTTCCCTCCCTCCCCTAGTGGTGTCCAGTGTCTGTCAAGCCCACCTTTGTGCTTGTGTGACCAGTGATCAGGGCCTGCTTTTGAGTGAGAACATGTGGTGTTCAGTACTTTGTATCTGTGCTAGTTTACTTAGTATGGTGGTCTCCAGCTGCATCCATGTTGCTGTGAAGTCCATGATTTTGTTCTTTATGGCTGCATGATATTCCATCGCATATTAATATATGTACCACATTTCTTTTTCCAGTGCACTTTCAATGGGCATCTGGGTTGGTTCCATGTTTTTGTTATTATGAATAGTTCAACAGATTCTTTTAGGTGCCATTAGTAGAATTCATATAAAATTGGTCATTTTAGCCACATAAGGTATGTAACTCAGTGACAGTAAGTATATTCACAGTGCTGTACAGGCATCACATTCTTAACCTCCCAAAAGGAAACCCGTGCCCTTTAAGCAACCACTCTGCATTCCTTCCTTTCCCAACCCCTGGCAACCACTAATCTGCTTTCTGTCTCTTTGGATTTACCTGTTCTGGATATTTCCAGTTAATTATTATTTTTTTCCTTGATTTGGAGTCTTACTTTCTCACCCAGGCTGGAGTGTACCTCAACCTCCTGGGCTCAGGCAATCCTTACACTTCAGCCTCCCAAGTAAGTGGGACTACATATAGGTGCATGCCAGTATGCCTTGGCTAATTTTGAGTTTTTTTGGTAGAGATGAGGTCTCACCGTGTTGCCCAGGCTAGTCTTGAACCCCTGGGCTCCCAGTGTGCTGGGATTACAGGCATGAGCCACATGACAAAATTTACCACATGAACCACTTTGAGTTGTGTTGAGTGCACCCACATGGTCGTGCAGGTGACCTCCTGAACTATTCAGCTCTGTGAATTTGCACACAGGCTTGGGTCCCTTGCCCAGCTAGAATGCCACATTTCAAGGCAACCACCCTTTTGACATCCATCCTCAAAGGTAGAATACCTTGGCACATTAATTGTAAAAATCAAGTACTTTTTAGCTTTATTGGGGAAATATTCCCTTTTTTCCTGTAGACTACTCATGATATGTTGTGGTATGACCATCAATGTCTAAAAATAAAGAGCAAAGTCAAGGTGTGGCCTACAGGTTGGGAGCCCCTTGCTGGTTAGGGCATGAACTAGGGTTCGATGCATGGGAAACATGCCAGGGAGAGGAGAGACCCTCCCAGCATCACAGGACCTAGAGTATCTTGACAGCTTTTAAAAATCCCAATAGAGGCACGATGGCTCACACCTATCTTCTCATCACTTTGGGAGGCCAAGGTTGGAGGATTGTTTGAACCCAGGAGTTCGAGACCAGCTTGGGCAACATAGCAAGATCTCATCTCTATTTTTAAATTAAAAAAAAAAAGAAGAGTGGAATATGTTATGACCCTCTTCCAGCAAGGCTATGTCTGGGCTGTCTGATCACCACACCTTCTTCCCCGTGGAGGTCCATGGCCTGGATGCTTTAGAGTGTGGCAGCATGCCAAATGGCATGAAACAGCCTGATAGATGGAACACCTGAAGCCAGGCCCAGGTGTCATATTGAGGTCCAGGCCCTGTTCTTGATTGCCCAGTAGATAGGAGGTTCAAGGTGCAGGAGCACGTAGCAGCTCACGAGGATTTCCCGTCCATATTTGGCAGAACGGAGTCCAGGTGTTCACTTTAGCTCACTTGCATTTTATTCAGAAGACCTGTTGGTTTTGGAAGTCTGAATTATCCTGGAAGTAACATGAAGATACTTAAGATAGTTGTTGCTCAAGATTTAACGGGAAAGTGGAACAAAGCCTCAGTATAGAATCCTGGCAGCTGTGGGTGACTCCACGCCTTCTGGGACAGCAACCTTTAAGGAGCTGCTGCCCTGTGGGCGTATTTGGAACTGGGAGTTGGGAAGGGCTGTCGGGAACAATGAACTTGAAGTCCAGCTTAATGGGCTGTGTAGTTTTAGACTGAGCAGGAAAAAGAGGTTGGCCCACCGAGGGTCACCTTGAACCTGTCCCAATCAGGGCAGAAGTTGGAGCCAAAATAATAAGATAATAATAATAATAGAGCCTGTGCATGCTGCTGAGGGAAGTTGGAAAGAAGAGACATTGAGAATTGAAGGGAAAGCCCCCCCACCCCAACACACCCCAACCTTGGCATATCCACAGAGAGATACCAGCTGGGGGCCTGACCTTGGGATGGGAATTGGAGTTGAGAAAGATTTCTTCCCATTGTAGGGAAAGTTGGGTCCCTGTGGGTGATGATCGCCATGGCTCTAGCATTTATTAGAATTGCACGCATGGGTGGGCTCGGCTCTTGATAAAACACGTCTCATCAGATTGTGTTCTCTTTTGAACCCGATCTTCCTTTAAATTGGATGTCTGGAGAGATGCGTTCTGTGACCTGACACACTGACTCCATCTGCTAGACCATAACCCTGGGAAAGAGTAGATTTCAAACCAGGGACATGGAAAATGGTGTGTGAGGATAAAGGTCCCAGGAAGCTCTGGCTTTGAAAAGGGGAGTGAAGGCGCCTTTTGAGGTTCGTGTGGGGCACGAACCTTGTGGGTTCCCATACTTGTCACTTCCTCCTGAAAATGAGGTGGCACCCCTAACCTGCACGCCTTCCCCTGGCAGATGAGAAAAACATCCTGCACATCATGGTGAAGGTGGTGAAGGGCCACCGCCCAGAGCTACCACCTGTCTGCCGAGCCCGGCCCCGCGCCTGCAGTGACCTCATACGCCTCATGCAGCGGTGCTGGCATGAGGAGCCACGGGAGCGGCCCACCTTCCAAGGTGAGTGCCCCGAGAGGGGCCTGGTGTGGATCTCCCCAGGACATCCTGCTGATATTGCAGGAGACAGGTTATGACCAGGCTAGGCTTGGAGAACCGACTCGAGTGGGGAACCAGGTATATAGATGGGGGACTGGGGCGGAGGGGGTTGCTTAGCACCCACTGCAGCCTCCATCACTCAGGGCCGGGATAGGCTGGCTGGCACTGAGTGGTCCCTCCAGCCATCCACTCCCCTGGCCGGGTCCACCATCCAGAGGAATCTGGACATGGCACCTTGGGTTCAGACGTGGCCGTGCCCCTTCCAGGAGACTCACCTGGCTGTGGTCTGCAGCACAAGCTTGTCCTTCCCTAGGGTCTTGACCTCCTAGAGGAGATGTGTCTCTGGGGTAGGAAAGTAACCCTGATGAAATTGAAATGAGTCGTTGCATTCGGAGCTACGGCAGAGAGCAGCACGTGATGTTGGTATATCCCTGATGTATGGGGGTGCCAAAAAATGTATAGACATTTTGAGAGACGCTATAATCAGAAGTGTCTGGACACCTAAGGTAACCACTTTGAGCACCTTTTATGATTACAGAAGTCAAATGTGACTTGTATTCATCTTTTGTTACTGGTGTGTATTGAATATTACAATTTTAATATAGTTTTTCCTTTCTTAAAATGTATGTACATTATTTTGGCACCCTCTGTATATATTCCTAAAGGGATCACTTCCCAGTGCCAGCAGCCCTGCTCTGGTGTGTCTAATGGGTGGGGCTCTCAGGAAGCCTTCCACTCTGAGTCTGGTGAGCCTGCAAGTTATTGCTGATGGTGGGGGGGCTTGGCCTTGGCTGGCAGTCACCTAAGTGGGGCCCCAGGGCCTGCCTGCTGAGCTCAGCCTGGGACAAACCATGTGAGAATTCTCAGTGCCCACGAGGCTGGATGTCTAAGTAAAATGTATGTGAAAGTCATCTGAGTGATACACCCCTTTTGTTTTCTCCCCAAAAGAAATCACTTCTGAGACCGAGGCCCTATGTGAGAAGCCTGAAGATGAAGTAAAAGAAGTGGCTCGAGATTTGGACCTGAAGAGTTCCCAGGAGCCCAAGAGCGAGGTAGCAGACTCCTCCAGCAGGGTCTTTGTGTCTCCTCGGTGTCTGGGCTGGGATTTTCCTAGTCATGTGCCTCCCTGTGGATTCCCTGCCAGCCTGGACCAAGCTCCCTGTTTCTGACCCTGTGCCATCCCCTCCTCCATTTGAAGTGTAGGTCCCACGGATGGTTCCAGGTTCACTGCCCGACAGTGTCCCCATCCTCCTCTCCTGGCTGTGATTGTGTACGAGTGCCTGCTTCCTTGACATTTAACAACTACTCACTGATGTGCCACACCCAGCAGCTACTTGGATGTGCTTTGAACAGTGGGGATCAGAAGGTCTAGTCCCTGCTGGGCCTGTTGGTAGAGGGAGATCTGGTGTTGGGTGACTCTGTACCCCAGCATAGAGATCTGGCTATATTTATGTATGTATGTATATATGTTGGGGTCTCTGTTGCCCAGGCTGAAGTGCAGTGGCATGATTGATCACAGCTTACTGCAACCTCAACCTCCTGGGCTCAGACACTCCTGCCTCAACCTCCCAAGTAGCTGGGACTACAGGCACATGCCACCACTTCCGGCTAATTTTTTTGTAGAAATGAGACCTCGCTATATTGTTCAGACTGATCCCAAACTCCTAGGCTCAAGAGATCCTCCTGCCTCTGTCTCCCAAAGTGCTAGGATTTTAGGCATGAGCCACTGTGCCCAGCTGATCTGGCCCCCCTTTTTTTTTTTTTTTTTTTTT